TTTAGCGGGTTAAAAGCGGCTAAACTCGCTATCACACATATTATGATGCTGTATTTCTTGAATTTTTTTATAGTTTCATTCATACAACAAACCTACTAATTGTTATTTACTGATAATACAAGAAATTTACAACTAATTGAATTTTTAGATTTTTTATGAATTAATTGTTATTTACTGATAATACAAGAAATTTACAACTAATTGAATTTTTAGATTTTTTATGAATTTTCTTATTATTTAGGATATACAAGAAATTTACAACTAATTGAATTTTTAGATTTTTTATGAATTTTCTTATTATTTAGGATATTTAATTATATTTAAATTTAACCGCTATTTGACTGTGCGCTATTTGCCGTGATTTCGCTGCAATAGCCCGATATAGCCTTAGCGGTACCTCGCCGCGACGCGATCCGCTATCAGCAACCTTGACTCGAACTGTCAAACAGGTATCATCTCTTATCGCCTTCGAACTGCTAGATTGAGGTTCATTTCTTCTCTCTCGCCTTCGTCTCAGGCGACTGTTTTCTGTTTTTTTAAAGTTGATTTTTGTTGTTCTTTGAACAAATATTATCTACTTGTGAGAATTTAGAGGATCACAGATCCTAACTGTTTTTTGTTTTTTTAAGTTGATTTTTATTGTTCTTTGAACAGATATCATCTACTTGTGAGACTTGATGTGATTCTTGTGAAGAATCTCAGTAATTCTAAATATGATTATTTACATTTTGGTATGTTTATATTTCATTAAGTATTATTAGATTATATTCTTTTAGTTATTATATTATATATATACATCATCCAGTATATCACTCTAATAAATACTACTTATCCCCGATATATCCCTGATTTCTGCTATCCGATAAGAATTTAGATCATCCGATAAATTCCCGATAACCGATATTTAAAACATTGCTTGAGCGCAAGAACAGATACTTGCTAGAAATTGCTAGGGCCTTGTTATTTAAGCGTCAAGTCCTAAAATATTTTTGAAGGGATGCTATTTTGACAGACTACTATCTGATCAATAGATTGCCCTTATGTCTTACAGAACAAAACTAAAATCTCTGTTTTATATCTAGCTGAAGATGTTTCCTATTTAGCTACTAAGATCTTTGGGTCTCTATAGTTTATTCACAATCATAGACCTCAATGGACGAAATTAGATTCGCAATCTCTTACGGGTATTCTTCTTAGATATTCTATGACTCAAATGGTGCAGATGTTATTGCCCCTCCTTGAATCAGTATATTGTTTCAGCCGATGTTACATTCTCTAAGAACAAACCAGGACATATTGTCTTTGATAAATCCCAAGTTATCACTTGTAGTGAGGCACAACTAAGGTTAATTAAGACTATTGCGACAAAATAGCGACACAAAGCACAAAGTCAAAAAATGGTCTAATTTAAATATGTACAAATATTTAAAAAAAATAAAAGAAAATTTTAGAAAATCTAAAAATGCATATTTGATAATTAAAGAGATCCTAAGCGTGAAATAGACATGTAACTACCACATAATATTAAAGAGGACCGGAGGAGTCGAAGAGTCATCGTCTTCAAGAAGATGAGGTGAGCGTTGAGAGGATGACAATAGGAGATTACAACGAGAGGAGGTGAGAGGTGTTGTGGCGGTGAGAGGATGTGCTAAGGGAGGTACCAACTGCTAAGGCTGTGGGAGGCAACAGGGAGATGCCGAAACTCGCAAGAAGTGATGGGATGCGGTGGGAGGTAGCAACCTTTTTAAGGGCTAGGGTTTTTTAAAGTTGGATCGCGAAGGGGAGACTCAAGAGAGAAAAATCATGAACATCGGGTGTTGCTGGTGTCTGTCAAGTTTAATTAAAAAACATAAAACGACTTTTAATAGCGGTTAAAAAGCGGATTTTACCCACAATTGCTCGCTATTCACCGCTATGACACGCTATTGGCTGTATTTGCGAGTGAAAAGCGCATATTCCGTAATATGTCACCGCTATTGGGCGATATCATTACCGAAATGGCAGCTAACGCTATTAGCGACGCTATTTATAACACTAATAAATCCTTAGACCCTCGATGCTTATAACTATTTTATTATTCAGTAAACTATTGCCAATGTTCCTCCGAAGACTGCTATACAAACCAATCTACCATTCAAGTTTGTGGAACCAGTTCATATTTATACAAGATGTACTACATCGCAACCTGAGCTATTATCCAAATCCACCCAAGAGCCTAATATACTAGCATGCCAAAATGTGACCATACAGCCAAATGCTCAGCATATTGATGATCTTTTCATTGCCCACTAAAAAAGTATGAGATCTTGTTCTCGATATTCTCTTACACACTATGTTTACTCTTCATTATCTTCATCATATTATTCTTTCATATCTTCTTTGAATTCTCACCAGTTCCCAAGAATTTGTCAGAAGCTCTATCTAACTCAGATTGGATGGCGGTAATGTAAGAAGAGATGACAGTCTTAGACCAAAATGAGACTTGGGATCTTGATTCACTACCGCCAACGAAAAAAGCGGTTGGCTGCAAATGGGTTTATACTATCAAAGTAAACCCAGATGACTCTCTAGCTCGCCTCATAGCTCGAATAGTTGTGAAGAGATATTCTCAGATCTATAGCCTTAATTATATCGATACCTTCTCTTGTAGCTAAGACGACATCTATCTTTATTCTTATTTCGCTTGCTACTAGCTATCATTGGCCACTATGTTAGTTGGACTTTAAGAATGCATTAATTAATGATATTCTTGATGAGAAGGTTTATATGGAGCAACCACTAGGTTTAGTTACTCGGGGGGGGGGGGGGTGGTAAGGTTTGCAGGTTGAAAAAAATCCCTCTATAGCTTTAAGTAATCTTTGAGAGCTTGGTTCGGACGTTGGGGGGGGGGAGTGTGGTAAGGTTTGCAGGTTGAAAAAAATCCCTCTATAGCTTTAAGTAATCTTTGAGAGCTTGGTTCGGACGTTTTGCTACAGTTGTCCAAACCTTTGGTCTTCATCGAGCTCAGAAAGATTACTCGGTTTTCTGGAGATTTCATGGTAGAAAGAGGATCCTCTTAGTTGTATATGTTGATGACATTGTAATCACAGGCGGCGATGCACAGGGGCATTAGTCATTTGAAGAAGTATATACAACAATGATTTTAAGCCAAGGACCTTAGATCCTTGAAATATTTTTTGGGCATCGAAATGGCTAGATCGAAGAAGGAAATTCTATTATCACGGAGAAAATATGTACTTGATATGTTGCTAAATATTAGGATGTCAAAAAGCAAGGACATTGACTCACCTATGGATGACAATGTCAAACTATTACCAATTCAGGGGGAGTTACCGGAGGATACAACAATACAGACGTCTTGTAGGTAATGTTTTAAATATCGGTCGACATATCAGACATGTCGGATTTAGGGGTCAACAGACATGATATGGAGCTTTTCAATACGTATTGCGTTTTTAGGGTTTATATCGGATATATCGGGGGATATGTCGGGCGGATATGTCGGGTGATATGTCGGTTATATCGACCGATTTTTCAGTCTGAAAAATTAGCTTATTTTTTTTATTTTTTTTGTTATGTTTGTCTAATCAGGTTTGAGTTTAAATTCTTGATTGTCTTAATATTACTTCCAAAGATAAAAATCGATAAGTTAAGGAAAATAAAAAAAAGACCAAAGTAATATTCGTCGCTCATCTTCTCTCTCCTTCGACATCTCATCGGTCTCTTCTCCGAGTTATTCCTTCGACATCAATATCGGGCGATCTTCTCTCTTCTTAACTACTAATATCAGATTTCTCATCTCTTTCCTTCAACATCAACACTAAGCATCATAAGTTATTTACTCTTTTATATGTTTAGACAATAGAACTTTTTAAGTCTATTTAAATTTTATTTATGATATTTATATTACACATATGTCACAATTCGATATGACAATCCGATATTTTTTTCATGTCCCCCGACATATCCCCGATTTTCGCTATCCGACATGAATTTTAGCCATCAGATATGAACACGACATCCGACATTTAAATCCTTTCTTGTAGGAAAATTGAACTACATAACAGTCACGATGCTAGATATTGCATTTTCTGTTAGTTTAGTTAGTCTCTCTTGGCACTTAGTAAACCTCATTGGAAACTGTGAAGAGGATTCTTAGGTATCTCAAGAAAATGCCATGAAATGGAGTACTCTATTTAGATATTGGTCACACGAGAGTTGCAAGACTCTCAGATGCAGATTGGACAGGATCTCCTGAGGACAGACGATCAACTGTTGGGTATTGTGTGTTCATTAGAGGAAATCTAATATCATGAAAGAGTAAGAAACAGAGTGTAGTCTCTTGATCTACAGTTGAGTCTGAGTATCGAGTCATGATGAATTTGACTTACAAGCTAATCTGGGTTAGAGGTATATTAACAGAGATTGGTTATCCTCCGGAGTGTCCTATGAGCTTGTATGAAGATAACAAGGTCATCATTCACATAGCTGAGAATCTAGTGTTCATGAGAAGACAAAATACATAAAAATTAATTGTCACTTGATTCGTGAGATGATGTAGAAGGGAGTCATTCAAGCACATACCATCAGAACATCAACTTGTAGACATTCTCACAAAAGCTCTTGGAAGAACACGAGTGAATTTTATTTGTAACAAGTTGGGCATGTATGTATGTATGCTCAGCTTGAGGCGGAGTGTTGAAGGAGTTATTTATTCCTTATTGTTTGGTCCCACATTGGTTGGCAACAAACTCCTTTGTTTCCCAACACACTATTAATAACATACAAGAGAGAGCTAATAATCTCTCTAGGGTTTCACAATAACAATAATTATTGTTATAATCTTCATGAAAGATTCTGACAACTTATATCTAGGACTCATAGCTTTCCTTGAAGATGAACAAGCAAGTTATAAGATAACTAGAAGAAGCAAACCAATGTCGAAAATCAATACGCATATAAAGTAGCATCATGTCAGGTTAAACTTTTAGATAATGTACCTTTGTGTTCCTGCTGGCGAAAGTTTCAAGATTGTCAATTATTAGCTGCACAAGCTTATGATCACCTCCCTTCCATTCAATAACACCACTGTACGAGGACAAAAGCACTTCAGATAAACTATGCATTGACTGAAGGAGGAGTTTCACATCATTTCCTATGGTTGAACATTTCTGGATATGTTTCTGAGAATCAAGATTTACATCGGGCAACTTATCTTGAGCACCATTAGTAAGACCTGTCTCAGCAGCAGCAGCACCTTCACCCTCTAATGAAGGTCGATCAGCTGAAAAAATGACTGTCCTTACTTGACCTAACTCCTTCACATTCCCATTCACTCGTTCAGAATCCTCTTCTGAATATTTTACTCCATCACTTTTCTCCTTAATAGCGCTAGGAACACATCTCCATTCCTCTCCAATTTGTGCACATTCTGATCCTTTTGCATTGAAGTCATATAATATCTCATCTGTTGCACACACACTAATATGCGGAGAGAAATTCCCAATAACAGGTAAAGAACCCTTCATGTCGCCATAGCAAAAGAGACCATCTTTTTCCTCATAATTTGAGGTTCTCAAGCATTGACCACTGACTGGAATGCACTTTTGTGCTTGGTTCAAATCATCAGAACCTTTTAATTCATTCACTTTAAGATGAGAGTCTATCATTCCATCGCCAACACCAAACAGATACTGAGACGCGGCAGCTCCTTTCCAACATGGTGAATCCACAGAAAGATGAGGTTGATCAAGTGCCTCTGAAGAAATCCTCAAGGAGCTATTAGGCCTGGATGAAGAGACAATTGACTCTGTAAAATTTAATTGCTTAGTTTCGAATCCATGTGTCATCTTGGGTGAATAAACCTTGGGATTTGCAGTTGTTACTTCTTTTCCTAAAGTAGAGCATGATGTACCTATTGAGAAATTTGTCAGTCTATTGTTTCCTTTCATGTTGCTATCTACTACAATGCTGTTTGCATCACTTTCTTTACCATCAGAATATTGATCAATGCCAGGCACCTTCTTGTTGCCAAGCATATGGTCTACATAACTGTCATCAACATTATACAACAGATTGCCATGCTGAGTAGTAGAATACCAATTTCTTGGCACAAAATACATCAAAGCATTAGTCTCATTAGCTGGAGTAAGATCTTTGGCAGACGACGAACATGTTTTTGGTGGATAATAAATTATGGGAGCTGTAGAGCATGAAACAAGCTGCGTTATATATCTATCATAAGAGTTTGAATTTGAGGCATCACATTCATCCACGAAAACATTGGGTTTGGAAAACTGAAAAGAGGCCGATCCATTGTTGCATGAGTCCGTAGCCTTATCCTGGTAAATTGCTGGGCGCTCATCTTGCCGAACTGAGGAATCTGCTCCAATGTGAACTGGTCTTTCCGAGGAATCAACATGCTTTCCATGCCAAGCGCCATAAGCATCACCATATGTCATAAAACTTTCAGAAGCGCCTCCTGCAAATAACAAAAAGGAAAATTTGATGAATTAACTTTCAGAGGACATGAGTATTCTGGAACCATTCAATTAAGAGAAGATTCCCTGCTTACAAAAAATTCCTCAGTTTCAATGTAGGCTTAGTCTACTACTCAAAGGCTGTTCTTGGTGCCATTGCTTAATTCCTTACATGAAAATAACAAGATTAACAAAGCATGTTACCCGCTGTAGGGCACTTTCCCAACCAAAAGGAGTTATGTCAACCACAATTTCCCTTGATATCCTATACTCAAAAATGTAAATTGCTAATCACCTTAACAATTTAACATATGAAATATGGAAGCCCTCTTTCTACACAAATTAATTATTGGAGAGATCAGTTTAATAATTAGGTTCTTATATGAATAAGAACTCAATACATGTATTTATATGAGTCAAATGTACGCATATTTCTAAGAAATAGACATACTGTTAATAGTAGCATTCTTCTGTCTATATTTGATAATTGGTGTGTCCATGTCCTGGTATAAAACTCGTGTCTAGTTTAAGAAGTAACCACACTGTCAGAAATGTGCAAGTTGTTTAGTTCTATCGTCTGGAATATTCAAACCCATGAAGATACTCTAATAAAATAAGTGTTCACATCATCATCCAAGATTTGAGCTTTCAAATTGTATGCTTCAAACTGAATGCCTAACCAACCTGCTACTTAACGACATCCTTTTTGTGGATACTCAATTGATGGAGAAGAAAGCTCAAGACTATCTAAACTTCAGGTATTTGATCGCTCCAATTAATGTAGATCACTTCAACAAGCTGGGTCTTCAAAATATATGCTCTGTCACTAAATACCCATTGGAAGGATTCACATTCAAGTCATTCCTACCACAGCTAACATTCGCTCAACTATAAGGATCAGGTTTAACAAAGTGAAACAGCAAATTAGATGATCTAAAATTATTTCCCAATAGGAAGTATTCCTCTCAATCAATAAATCCCAAGTAAGAAGCGACATCCATTATTAGATCCCAACAGGCATCCAAATTACTCCAGTAGATGCCAAGTCTCTACCTCAACCTCACCCCTCCTCCAGTAAACAAAAATAATAAAGTGTTGACTATACATACTACCTCAACTCAGTCTCATATTCTTTAGAAGGTGTTTGTTTGCATGAAAACCAAGCTGGATATTCTCATACTCTACTTTATTTGCTGCCATTTACGGGGTATTTGTTTGCATGAAAGTGAAGCTGAAAGTGTGGAAGTGAACTCACTTCTAGCTACTTCAGGTTTTTGTTTCATTGGTATTTGAAAATGTAATTGGAATGTAAAGAAAAGTGCATAATAGATGTAACCCTTGATTCATTTTCCCTATAAAAGTGTCGAAGTCGCCTGAATGAGGGGAAATGGGACCGTTGCTAATTAATATATTTAATTATTAATATATTATTGAAGTGAACTTGATTTAAATAAATAAAATAATTTGATCATATCAACTTTACTTTTCTACTTTCTAGAATAATTTCTTTTTGCAACCAGAACTGGGTGGATGCACTATCACATATGCAGACTTTCAATTAAGATCCACTTTCAGATTTTCAAATACCCCCTTAGCCTTTAAATATATTTTACAATATGAAACAGTTAGGATAAACATACGTAACAAAACATTTCAAGATAAGTCTTGAAAATTAGAAAGCGAAACAGCTTCATCACCTCATCTGGTTACTTTTCACATGAACCTCATCTGGTTACTTTCAACATGAATAATAACTACTACGATGGTAACAACTCGATCTTATCCCCTATAAAATCTCAACTAACTACTTTATCCAATAAAAAATTTACAAATAAAACCTGACTATGACATTTGACATATTTTTAAATAGGATCCGCTAATCTTAAATTACACCATTCCTCCTCTTTGCTTAACATCTTCTTCTGTTTGTTGTTGCATATCGTCTTGTGCTTGCCATCAACCGTCTCGTTGTTTGCATTCTGCAATACATCTGAAATGATCACCTACCTTGTTGATGTCCTATTCAACTTTGGAGTATATGTCAGCTACAATTACATGCACTTCCCAATTATCTTAGATTTTTTTTCCCCTGAGAAACCTAATATGCTTGATACTCTTAACTAAAACAATGGTTAAATCTCTTTGAACATGCAGACTCAGACTCTAAGGTGATTAAGGGGTAAAGCAGCCCTTTGATAGAAGAAAGCAAGAAGATAGTGTTGATTAAGGGTAATTGCTAAAGCATTTCACGGTCCACTGTTTTGGCGTCTGAAGGAGACTACAGGATCTTAGGCTTATCCAAACAGCATATCCTGTTATTTGATGTGGCAAACTCAAGTAGATTGTTTTACAAACTGAAGTATAATAGCAAACCCCAGCCCCAAATCAAACCAAGCTCCTTTAATCTAACCGTAAATGATGATATCGGAATATGATCGCCTCTCCTTTAGGGGTTCTATTGACAAATCCATCATTTAGACTTGTACCGAAAATTTCACATTAATATCAACCCATTTCCAATCACTCTCCTCTACTACAACGATACAGAAATGAAGCAATTAATGATATTTCTACCACCAAACACAAATTTAGTGCGCACCAAAGGTTTATAGTAAAAAAATCACAAATTCCAACGGATCTCAAAGATTCTGAAGCCTAAATTCATCAGATGCAACAGTGAACACAAAAACACCCAATTCCCGACCAAAAACATCGGCATCGAGCTAGAATACCTGCAGAGAATGGCGAAACGTTGAAGGAGAGAGAAGGATCCATCCAAGATGCGCTCTCTCCTGCGGATTTTTCCGGCGAAAATTCGTTAACGTTGAATTCAGGAACCGATGGCGACGGAGGAGGGTAAGCATAGGGCTGGGGGCGGTGGCTGCTGATGTTGAGGCGATCGACTGTGAACGGCGGAGCTAGTGGAGACAGCGTTGAAGAGGACGGCGAAGCTGGGATCATGGCTAACGATGATGATGACGATGATATGAGGGGAAGAGAGACAAAGAGAGTGGTGAGAGGAATCTCACCGACGATATGAAAACAGGACAAATTTTCAAAACCAACCCATTTGATGTTTTATTTGCAAAAAACGACCCGTTTCAGATTTATTTAGAGAAACCGACCTGGTTTCAGCACTGTCGCTGAAACCAGGTCGGTTTTTCTAAAAAACCTTCCGAAACTTCACGGGAGTTCAACTCCCGTGAAGTTTAGTATGTTTTTAAACTTCACGGGAGTTGAACTCCCGTGAAATTTATTACACTCATTAAACTCCATGGGAATTCAACTCCCGTAGAGCTGCAGGGTAAAATCCGCAGCGAGTAGCTCGCTGGGAAATTTGGCCTGCAACTTCACGGGAGTTGAACTCCCGTGAAGTTGCAGTGTAAATTTCCCAGAGAGCGATTCTCTGGGAAATTTGGCCTGTAACTCCACGGGAGTTAACGTCCGTGAAGGCTGCGGGCTATATAAAGCGAAGCGACAGACCCCCCCCGCCCTCAGTTCTCTCCTCACGCCGCAACCGCTCGCCGAAACCCTAACCTCTCTCACGCGCCGGTCCACGATGCGTTTCTGGACCCCACGCCACCCGCAAATCCGACCGGCGGCCATTTGATGCCGACGCGCAAGCACTCCTTTCGGCGAGCGTGTTTGGCTGCCCTTGATTCCGACCGCCGGAACAGTCAAGTTCGCCGGATTTCGACAATTTGAGGGTAAATTCCTCCCAAAATTAGATTTTCTCTTAATTTCTTGTATTTTCTCGCTATTTCATGGTGATTACATCTAAAAAATTATATTTTAGAATTTAATTGTGAAATTTTTATGATTTATGTGAAGAAAACTTAAATAATTTTGTCGATTTAGAGGGTAAATTTTCAATAATGTAAAAAATAGTGTTACTACATATGTATGACATCTAATTTATTTTAAAAAAATTGTGTTATCAATAATTTTGTCGATTTGTGAATTTCATTATGAATAAGTTATGAAATTAGTGCTATATGACATCAATTAAAAAATCTAAAAATTAGTGCTATATGACATCAATTAGATTTGAGAATTTAATTGTGAATTTTATGAATTATGTGAAGAAAACTTAAATTATTTTGTTGAGTTAGAGGGTAAATTATCAATAATGTAAAAAATAGTGTTACTACATATGTATGACATCGGTATATGAATTTGGGTAAAATTATGGTTCCCTAAAATTGATATAGGATTTAATTTTAAGTAACAAAAAATTTTTAGAGTCTTTTCGTGTAATATTGATCTTGATTGTTTTACTCTTCAGAGGTAATGATGAACGATCGAATCGTAATTTTGTGTTCGTATGATGGGAAGATTAAATACCTCGAAAATAATATGCCCGTTTATGAAGGAGGTACGACGAGACCATTGTTTATAACAAAATCGTGTACTTTCGATGAGTTGGTTAATGAATTGCACAAACTTACATTAACCAACTCACGTGAGTATCACCTTAATGTTATTTGCAATTATCCTGTCGTGGAGAACAGGACAAGCGGCATTCAAATATCAAGTGACTACGATATGAGTCTAATTGGAGTCTTACATGACGAGAAGCGTTCGATTGAATTGTTCATTGAAAAACATCAAAGGAATTTGGGCAAATCGTTGAATTATGATGGAATGTATTCCCGCATGTTGGAGGACCCTGATGTTGATTCCGTTGGCTTTTTATCTCCTCAACAAGATGAAGGTTGGACACAATCACAACATATGAGCGGTTGGACACAATGTATTCCCGCATGTTGGAGGACCCTGATGTTGATTCCGTTGGCTTTTTATCTCCTCAACAAGATGAAGGTTGGACACAATCACAACATATGAGCGGTTGGACACAATCACAATATATGAGCGGTCCTTCGCTTGTGGGCACTTCGAATGCGGTCGATACTAACACGGGAGTTCAAGAAGATAATGCAAGTGTTGAATCTGAGAATGATGATGAAGAGGAGGGCTTACAAATTGATAACATGACTTTGATAGATCGTGATGAAGGGGACAACCACCACATTGACGGGTGTTATGCTAATAATGAGTATGTTATCTTAGAGGATCCGCCGCCCGATGAACTTCAAGGAGAAGAATGGATCGATAACTCCGTGATGGAAAGTGTTCCTATTGGCACTAATAGCGGTCATGATACACAGGGCGAGGACTTCTTAGCATTGATGGCACCCACTTATACGGCAAGTACAAAGGAGTTTTGCTTGTTGCCACCGGAGTTGATGCGGATGGCGGTTTGTTTCCTTTGGCGTTTGCAGTGGTTGATATTGAAAACACAGAGAATTGGGCGTGGTTTTTTGCATGCATTAGATATCATATCCCTAGTGTGGGTGCGCGGCCGATTACATTCATATCTGATAGGATGAAAGGAATTCCAAGAGCACTCCAACGTCATTTCCCAGAGCCACATGTACATCGTTATTGCTTGCGACATATTAGGGACAACTTCAAGAAGAAATTTGGAAGCGGTCAGGTTCAAGATCTTCTTTGGCAAGCCGGCTGTGCAACAGAAAAATTAGTTTATGATCAAATACGAGAGAGGATTAAGTTTATCTCCCGTTTGTTGTTTTATATAACTAGATGAGTATTTTAACAAAAAAGATCTAACACATTGAGCATTGTCTTCTAATATAATTCTCAGTTATATTCATTATGGATCCGGGACCGAGACGCCTAGACGTTTTGACCTTCCAGATGAGCCACGTTTCAGATTATATTGGCTCAGGACAGGTAAAACATATTTTGTATATGCTAGTTAGCATTGGCACTAATTTTAATTTTTTGCATTATACTTAATCAATTCTTTTTTAACGTGCAGCCCGTACCTGATATCACCATGATCGAGCATTCCCAGAGCCATTCATCTTGGGTCATTGAGGATGAGAGAGTTCTAGCGCTGATCTCTCAGGCTGGTTTTCGGGAGTGCTCGACGGTTCGATATATCAGGCTTGATTGGCCGCTTATCACTGCTTTGATTGAGAGGTGGAGGCCAGAGACCAACACCTTTCACATGCATATAGGGGAGTGCACCATCACTTTACAGGACGTGGCCGTCATTCTTGGGCTCCGGATCGATGGGCCGCCAGTTACGGGCACCGATGATCATAGTTGGCCCGAGGTATGTGCCCGGCTTCTTGGACAGGTTCCCGACTTGAGGAGTGGTGCGATGAAGCTATCGTGGCTTCGTCAGACATTTCAGGGCGATATACCACAGGATGCCGATGATGAGACGCTCCAGTTTCATGCTCGTGCATACATATTGCACATGATAGGGTGCGTACTATTTCCTGATGCGAGCAAGACTCTCGTACATGCACGATGGCTGCCACTGCTGGAGGATTTTGGTGTATGCGGCGCACTATCGTGGGGCAGTGCGGTGTTGGCATATTTGTATCGAGAATTGAGTAGAGTATCCCTGATGCAGAATAAAGAATTCAAGGGATGATGCACATTGATACAGATTTGGTCATGGAAGCGCATTCATATTGAACGCCCTACTTTACTTGTGCACCGTGACCTACAGGGGCAGTTTCCTTTGGCGTAAAGGTATAATTGTACACACAAATTTTATTCGCACTGAATTTATACTTATATATTCTCTATTCTGCATATAGGTATAACGTGCGGTACGCTAAGTACCGATCAGCGACGCACCATCGTGAGTTTTACCGAAATGAGCTTAATGGTCTCCAACACGAACAGGTAAATATAAATCTCAAGTCGTTATGAATATTATAGTTTTGTTGTTGATACTGATAAATTTTTTATTTTATTTCAGTTCAAGTGGAGACCCTATACACCGCCGGAGCTCGATATACATTCTCTTGCACCTATCTGCCGAGATAGTCCCGACTTGTGGAGAGCGAGAGTTCCATTGATTTGTTGGGAGATCGTGGAGATGCATGTCCCTGACCGTGTGCTACGACAGTTTACGCTCTCTCAGCATGTACCAGATCCTGTTGAGCAGATCTCTCGTCGGCGACGACCTACTTCGCACCATAACGACTGGGCCGTAGTTCGTACGGCCTACATAGACAGGTGGGCTCACAGGTGGGATTTCATCCAGGATACGAGGCCCACGGCTGTTGACTACACCGCATATATGGGTTGGTATTGGGATATCACACGTAGATGGATCACACGTGACCCACAGCTCTTAGCTGGACACATGCCACGGCCACCGACAGACAGTTACATCCCTAGTGGGATGAACGAGAGAGATTATGTAAGTTTCTAAGCTAAATTATAATATTTTTTTTCTTGAGTTGGTACTTAATAAATTATTTACCTCACAGGTCCGTTCTTTTGATAGCATTGGGGCTGATATTGATGTGACTGTGCCTGAGATTCAGGATCAAGTGGCGTTAGAGCTCCTCAGCAGGATCAAGAAGACCATAGCACATGTATTTCATAAGACTCACGTCGACGAGTTCGTAGGCCGTGAGGACTGGTCTCGATCATTTGGGTAGGCATACACTCATTGCCGACGGCCATGTGACGATGATTCATCAGCGCGGGGGGCGGGGAAGAGCGAGGGGGAGGGGGAAGAGAGGGAGAGGAAGGAGAGGAGCTATATTGGGTTGTATTTGAACTTATTTTGTTAAAATTTATAAATTGTATGAATTTTCAAATACTATACTTTTATGGATCATTATAGCTCGATATGTGATCTTTTTGCGTATTGTTTGATTCGTGCTTGTTTAAATAATATATATATTGCAGTAATTATTGTCAACAGGTAAATAGTTGTATATATGAGTTAAATAGATAGATGTATGCATGATGTGCATGTTTTTTGTAAAACCTGCAACTTCACGGGAGTTGAACTCCCGTGAAGTTGCAGTGCAAATTTCCCAGAGAGCGATTCTCTGGGAAATTTGGCCTGTAACTCCACGGGAGTTCAACTCCCGTGGAGTTTTAACAATAGAACAAACTCCACGGGAGTTGAACTCCCGTGGAGTTTAATGAGGATAATAAATTTCACGGGAGTTCAACTCCCGTGAAGTTTAAAAACGTACTAAACTTC